TTTTCCAACTCAGAGGGGAATGATAGATGGGTTGTTTATTGGTAAGGAATCTAAATGATTAGGAAGTTGGCAAATATGTTGTTTGCTCCTATGCTTGTCCCAGAGGGAAAAACCCTCAGATGATTTAGATGAATCGTGGAGAAAAATGAACCAAATGAAATGTTCTTGGTTAAGTCCTACTACAAACATTTGATGTTAGTGGCATATTATCGAAAATTTCATATGGAAGCTGATTTAGAAGTCAGAGCTTTCTCCTAGAATTTCCTTCTTTGCTTCGGAGGTGGCGTGAGGATGCATCCAAACTGAAATAATTTGATCAAGAGGTGAAATCATCCACACTCAAATAACTTGATCAAGAGGTGAAAGATGATTGTGAATTAATGTTATTTACTCAAACGAGCACAATCTTGCTCTATCTCCAACTGGTAATGGTGTTTCACTTATGGTCTCTTTGGGGTGAATTTGGCCACAACCAGTTCGGTAAAAGAAGAGATTTGGGCTTGGAAGTGAATTCATGGGACCCTAGAATGATCTTTGATAGATTTGGTCTTGGCATTATCCCTTTGGCTACCTTTCAGGTCGTATGAAAAGAAAGGAATAGAAGAGATTTTAAGGGCATAGAATGATCTTTGATAGATTGAAAGATTCTTGGTTTCAGACCCTAACTTTTTTTTATCAGGGGTCATCCCCTCTTTTCTTTTGAGGATTTAGGAGACTTGATTGACTTGCTACCAGAATTGTAAAATTTTATATACGGGTGCACTTTTTTGTGCTTTTAATTCCATAGTTCATATTTCAAAAAAATATGATAAGATGTTTAAAAAGAGATAAACATGTATAGAATAATTCTAAATTGATTTCAGTTTGAATTACTAAATATCTTTTTCAGAAGTTAAATTACCAAAAAAGTCAAATATTGATACAAAATATGCAACAGCAAAAACTCCTCCGAATCTAATAGCAATACAGACCTTGTCTTCTTCAGGATTTTTTGAGTTAAAGGCATCAGATTTCTCACGAAGTAACTCCTTAAGCTTCACTTTCAATTCTTCTTTGTTCTCATGTTCCTGAAACCAGTTGGATTAGGAGACGCAGGTATTAGAAAGAAGGCAACAAAACGAAATTCATGAAACAATCCAGCCAACCCCAAATAATAAGCAATATTACATCAAAAACCAAGTTAATGCACTGTCCAACTCCTTGCCAGCAAAGCCTCATAGCAAATAGGTTAGCCCATGGAATATGAGTCTTAAAAGATTGGCTGGAGTCAGAATTACATTAACGTGCCTTTTCTGAAGCATGCAGACATACTTCTGTTTCAAGACTGTCCTCTGCTTCCACAATAGCAGCAGCAATATTTGCGCCTGAAGATAAACGGCGGACTTTGTGGGGCCGGGTAGAGGGTCTACTATTATCAAAGCCCCTTACTTGCTGAAATGGTGAAGGTGAAGGGCCTGAAGCAAGACGAGAACCATGATACCGAGCAACTGGAACAATAGATTCAGGCTGAACTTGAGGTTCGGCATCATCTAATCTTCTTGATTGAGCCTTTTCACGCTTGATCCTTTCTGCCTGCCGCTGCAAATTACAAAGAAAAGCAAACGTAAGAGACTGAAATGTTTTTAACCTACCTAAAATACACCTAATACCAAAACAAAAGACAAGAAAGACAATTTTTTAAAAAAAAATAAAAGTGAAGTATTATTATGAAAGACAAGAAAGACAACAAGATGAAGAAAACCAACAAGAAGGCCAAGTTTTCCATGATGTGGATAAATGGCATTCTAGACTTTTTTCTTTTCTCACTAAATCTAAATAAGGGTCAGTGGAAGGTTAGATGTCTTCTATGGTACTAAAGCAAACTAGATATTCTCTTATGCAAGGAATTGCATTTATGCAGAAGAAAATTAGATTCACACAGTTATAGATTGTCATCCTTCACATATTCTTGTCTCTTGAAATTCCAAATTGCCCCACATAGACACCAACATATCCAAACAAAAATTTCTTCAATGGAAGTTATAATAATAAAATTAATGGTTTCTTCCTTTCATGGGACAAAGAAGACAATGGCTGCATAGCTATTTACAGTCTGTAAGAAAAGAGAGTCCAAGGGCCAATCTAATTAAACCAGCTGATAATGGATCAAGAAATACCCAGAAATTTATGAATTTTTGTTGCACTAAAACTAACTTTCTTAATTAATCATCTAATAATATTAATTCAGTAATCTTTTTTTTGAAATAATATTAATTCAGTAATTAAATTAATTCAGTAATCTTCTAATTATACAGTAATCTCCTTGTCTAAAATCTCCGAAAGCCTTGAAATTAGAAGATGGGCTCCCGTTTGCCACTACTGCAAAATATGTAGTAGTAATATAGTGAATTAACCATAAAAGTTCTGAGAGTTCTCTCTAACCCTTCTTCCCACCTCTTATCCTGATGGCCGACCATAGCCCAAACCTTTCCATGAGCTTGTATGGACAAAGATTTCTTGCTATTGAGAATAAATCTTATGATTTATATTGTGAAGGAAAGAGAGCTGATGGCCTACAAATCACCGAAAATGGACGTGAGTTCCGAAAATCGATTTATTTAGACAAACAGGAATATGAATGGTTCCTTGATGCAATTGATGATTTTTGGTGGAGAAGGAGACTGGGCACTCGGGTTAAACACTAGGTGAAAAAGAACTACGAGTTATGGCTGGCTTTTGGCTCTAACAGAAGAGGGGAGTATTTGGTGTTAACAATACAAGGAGATCATCAGGCAAAGAGAATCTTCTTTTCAGGGGGAATGCAGGGGAGAGGATGGTGGAAATTGATGGTAGCGGCCTCCGAACTAGCGGATAAACCAGTTAAATGCCTAAAAGTGTGACTGAACGCGAAAGGAATAATAGGGAGCTGTCCAAGAAAAATATGATTCAGAAGAATCGCCCGTGGAAAGCTTCTTATCACTGTCCACACTGCAATACCCCAATCAACGTTTCAATGGAATTCAATGGTGCTCGTACCTATGGGGCAGTGCCGCAAAAAGTGGAAGATAGTGAGTTGCGGGTAGGACAGAAAAAATCTGTTGGAGATTCGAAGCGGGTCAGCCCAAAAAGACAACTTAAATCGGGCAAGTGGCATGTTAAAAACGGCGTGAAACCATGGCGTTTT